CCTGCTGAATGCTGTGGAAGCACTCCTGCCCAAGGGACTGCAAACCAGGGACTGCTGCCTCTGGTGGCACCTCCACCTTCTCCTCCCACACGACTGGATAGCTATAAAGCCAGGAGGCACCTTGGAAGCTCCAGAGGGAGGCACCACTCTGGGAGTCACAGTGAGTGTGGGGTGCAGGACAGTCAGCCAGTGGGTAGGGATGTGCCATGGAGTCAACACAGGGGTGAAGCTACAGAGCAAGATACAGCAGCTTCTAGGGGACAGGCTCTGAAAAACAAGGGACTGTCTTCTGATTCTGCAAATGAGGCATCTGTGTCAAATATTCAGGGATTAAAGATAGAGGAAAGTAGAGAGTGGAGCCCATCCCAACAGCCTACAAAGAGAAGCAACCCACAGGTTTTCAGCAGACCTTCTTCAGTCATTTTTCAAGAATATTTAAAGACTGACTCTGTGGCTAATGTCCCTAAAATACTTTCTGCTTATAATTCAGTTCATGCTTATAAAATTCCTGGAGAGATGAACTCCAAGTCCTGCCACCCAGCACATACCAGCCCTGATGCTGTTAATGATACACAGGAGGACAAACAGTGTCCCTGTGGTGTGCCCAAGCCAACCTCCAGAGCAGCAGCTCTGCCAAGCATGGTGCCAGAACCCAGCCAAGGGGCAGGCCCCTTGCCCTGCACTCAGTGCCTGCTCCACACCGAGCTGCATTCAGACGTGGACCAAGATGTGTTTGAGGACAGCTGGGACTTCAGAGCTGTGGAGAATGGTTTTCTAGTGACAAATGCTTCCAGGAAGCTGAGCAGTTGTACAGATGGACGTCGGAGGTATGGTTCTGAAGGAAAGATTGGGGGTGATGTTAAGGAACCTCACCTGGCTGAGCCAGCCAAAGTGCAGAGACCATCCCTGTCCTGCAGCTGTGGAGCTGCAGAAGCTGAGCACCCTCACTGCCAGGAGTCAGATCAGGGAAAGAAGCAACACTCTGGCAGTACAGTCCAAATGCCTCTTTTCAGACCAAAGGAAGATTCCACACCTCAGTTTTTGCCTGGAGTCAAGAAAGAAAAACAGGCTAACAACAGCAGTCCTGACTTTAGCCTGCATCTAGAGCAGGAGGAACATCCTGCTTGGAAACAGCAATCTGAATTTCAAACCCAGCTCTTAAGACAGTGTCAGGGTGACCGTGCTGGTGGACAGATCAGCAGGCAGATGACTCCCATGCTTTACTATCTGTCTGGGGGGAAAACCACCAGCCCTGTGCACCACAGCAAGCTCACCCCATGTCAGGAGGACTCCAGGAGCTCACCAAAGGAGCTTCCAGCAGGCAGCTACTCTGCCTCAGTGCACTGTGAGGAGATCCAAAGGGAGAGCAGTTGGCCCCAGAGGCCCAGCCCTCACCACCAGGGCAGTGCTGCTGAGCTGCTGGAGACTGAAGATCTGGCTCTTGGGAGTCCTGCCTCATCCACGGAGGAGAGCTTCAAGAATGACTACAGAGAGAAGCTTAAAGTGGCTCAGAAAAGGGTTCTGAGGGAAACCTCTTTCAAAAGAAAAGACTTACAGATGAGTTTGCCCGTTAGACTGAGACAGAAACCCTCTAAAAGGCCTTCGATTGAACACCTCAGGTCTTTATCATTATCCAGTGCAAATGAGGATGGAAAACCTGCTCCTTGTGCCCCTTCTCACCTAGAATCCTTGGAAAGTTTCAGCAGAGATGGAGAAATGAAGAGGCCACAAACAGCTCGAATAGGGGGAAGGAAAAGGGTAACAAAGGAGCAGAAGAAACTGTGTTATTCTGAACCTGAGAAACTCGATCAGCTGGCAGACAAGGATGGGCCGTGGAGTCAAGTCAGGGATGAAATCCCTGAGCAAGACCTAGTGGCAGGTAGGAGGAGGACCCTGGAGGTCAGAGGGAGGGCACTGTCCAGTTCCAGCCTCTCCAGGACGGAGCTGAAGCACATCCAGCACGTGGCACTGCTGCAGTACATGGAGCGGAAGATCAGCCAGAGGCCAGGTCCCAGCCCAGGCCCCCACCTCCCCCTGCAGAAGAGGCTCTCACACCCCAGGTGTCCTCCTGCCAAGGTTTCCAACCCAAACGGGAGCGGAAGGATGCAGAACAATGAGGTTTTCTGCCAGGATTTCTCCAAAGAGAAGCCACCCGAGGTGTTTCCTCCCCTGGCTGGTGTTCCCAGCTCTGCGGGCACCCCGGGGCATGGCCCCCCCAGAGCCCACCAGAGCTGCACCAGCAAGGGGGCACCAGCTGAGAGCCTCCTGCTGATGGGTCATCCTGCAGCTGGGAGAGCTCGGGAGAGGTCAAAATCCACTCCTGCTTCCACACAGGTAAGAGAGATGGAGCCAGTCAGTATTGTCTGAGTCTATTGTTATGTCTGTTACTGTTTTAGGGAACTGTGGGGCTGTTCACATGAAAAACTGCTGAATGTCACCAATGCAGAATTAAGACTCCATTTGGTTTTGGTGTGTAGTAGGGACATGATGGAAAGGGAGGAAAAGGCACATCTGTGTCATCTCTAATGCCAGCTCTGCTCTGCAGTGTGCAGGAGAAATAATTTGGGGAGATTCTGAGACAGTGCTACCAACTTTAGCATGTCACAGATTGATTTCGTTGTTCCTGGAAGTATTTTGTAAGGAATTATTGAAGACAAACAAGGTGTTCTTTAATGCCAAAAGCTGCAGGAGGGTTGCCTGGGGATGGAACCTTCCTCACAGCCAGTTGAAATGTGTGCTGGGTGTGGGAAGAGCCACTTGTTGTCATTCAGCAAGTGCAGAGCCAAGGCAGGAGGATGAGGAGGGTCAGCTTCAGAGGACATGATGGGCAGGTGCCACAGGCTCAGCTCCAGGGCTGGACAACCCTGGGCCCGTGAGGGTCCCTCCCAGGGATACCAGAGGGGTGTCGTGGGATCTGGCACTTGCACAATCCCAGCATGGTGGGGCTGGAAGGAACCTCTGGAGATCATCTCCTCCAACCCCCTGCTCCAGCAGCTCACCCACAGCAGGGTGCCCAGGGTCACAGCCAGGTGGGTTTGGGATCTCTCCAGAGCAGGAGACTCCACAGCCTCTCTGGGCAGCTGCTCCAGGCTCTGCACCCTCGCACCAAAGAAGTTTCTCCTCCTGCTCAGGTGGCACCTCCTGGGTTCCAGTTGGTGCCCGTTGCCCCTTGTCCTGTCTCTGGGCACCACTGAGCAGAGTCTGGCCCCAGCCTCTTGCCCACTGTGGGCCCTTTAGCTCTTGATCAGCATTGATCAAATCCCCTCTTCCCTCTGAGTTTTCTCTTCTCCAGACTAACCAGCCCCAGGGCTCTCAGCCTGTCCTGGGCACAGAGATGCTCCAGGCCCCTCAGCATCTCTGCAGCCTCCACTGGTCTCTCTCCAGCAGCTCCTTGTCTCTGAAATCACGTCTGCAGAGGACGTGCTGTGTGCAGGGAGATGCTCTTTGTGTTTCAGCAGTCACTCTTGTTGACAACAGCAACTTCACTAGAGCAGCATCCCACAAAACATTATTATTATAGAGGCATCTTTAAAAACAACCAACCTTTTGGCTCCTGAATTTGAAGGACAGTAGCTGCCAATATTGTTGTCAAGGAGAATAAAGAAAATAGATGTCAGAAAACAATCTAAATACTACTAATGTTACCCAGCTGCAGAGGCTGACAGGCTTCCACCAGTGCTGCTGACTTTCTGCATTGCTCTGAACCTGCTCAGGGATCTGCTCTTGGCTTCTGGTGTGGGGATAAACATGGGGGTCCAACAAAGCAGCTGCTGTCTGACAATGCCCTTTGTCCCCCTGTGCTCTTCTCCTTTCCAGGACACTTCTGGATGTGGTGGTGGCACAGTGGCCCCGTGCCAGCCTTGTGAGAGCTGCCTCAGCACCCCCAGGTAAGCTGTGCCCAGCATGTGCCAGCTCCGGCTGCCTGCTGCCATCCCCGTGCCTCGGGGTCCTCCCCGGTCCCTGTGGCAGCGTTCATCGGGTGCTTGTGTCACCCTGGGACAGCCTTTAAGCCAGTCCCCGGGTGTGGAGCAGGAGTGGGAGATGCAGAGTGCAGTCCCCGAGGTCGCAGCTCCCTCCTCTGAGCTCCAGCGCAAACAGCATCGGCTACAGCCCGGCTGTGCCAAAGCCCAGCGGTGGGACAGGGCTGTGGGGGTGGGCTTGTAGGGGACAGAAAGTGCTGTGCCGTGTCCACACGGCTAACTGGCACCTTCCTGTGGTGACTCTCTGTATTTGTTTTGTGGGTTTGAGGAGCATCAGCGGGGGGAACCATCTGCTGCTCGGCAAGGAGTGATGCTGCCACTCCTGTTAGGGATGGAATTCCCACTGTTCCAGTCGTTCAGAGAGATCCCAGGGGTTTCTGGAGGCTTGAGTATCTTCTAGATTAAAAAAAAGATTATCTAGGAAAAAAAAAAAGTGGTATTTTTATCAAGATTTTGAAGTTTTTCTGATATTTCCTAGTTTAGCTGAGAGGCTTTGCAGGTCAGCGTGGTTGTGAGTGGGAGTTCTGGACAGAACAGTAACATCACAAACTTATTTGATCCTTGCTCTATACTATGCACAAAGTAATGAAAAGGTGAGAAAGGCAGAGCTGGTTTAATTAGTAATTAATTTAGATTATCATCTTTGGGAAGCTGCTGCCAACACAGGTTTCATTCTTTGACAGCCATATCTCATTTTTTTCCCCCCTCTGTTTTCCTTCACATAAAAGTGCTGCTGAGCTGTGGCAGGAAACCCAGACTAGACTGGGCCTGCTTGAGTATTAATGACTCAAATAAAAGCTCCAACTGGGAGCAGCAGGGAGAGTGAGCTGTGATCCTTACCCACACCAACAGTGAAAGAAAGCTTGAGGACATTCCCCTGTGTGTTTTGTGTCCCCTCGATTGCCCATCACAACGTTGAGGTAGTTTCCACTGACATTGTCCATTTTCTGTGATGAAAACTGGGTTTTTTAACCCACAAGCTGCTCCCACCCTCTGCTGCTGCAGTGAGTCCTGAGTATGAGTGAGAATAACGCCCAGCAGTGATTTTTTTGAGGTGTCTCTTCCCTTCATCATCTATCACTCCAGAACTGTCAGTCCATGGCCACAATATGGCATCATTGTCACCTTGATTTAGGTGCCCCAGGCCATGGTGTTTTGCAGGGGTATTTTTAGCCCCATTTCCATGGGGAGGATTTTCCATCCTTAAAGGCATCACTAGATCACCAGAACCAGGTGGTTCAACAGATGAGGGGTTGATTTTTTAATTGCAGTGGGAAGGTGCACATAATAAATAAGATCTCTAAGTGACATAGTTTGTACTAGATAATAAATAACAATGATTAAATTTTCCTTTTCCATGCAGGCCTCATTTTTCTATTATTTTTTTGATTCAAAGCTGCAACGACTCTGTTAAAGCTGCAAAGCAGAGCTGGAGGAAGGGAAACTGTGGGAAAAGACAGGATTTCAAAAAAAGGCAGTGGCTGGAGGTAGTTTGGGGCTTGTAGGATTAAATGCAATGGTCCCAGCATGTGGAAGCTCTCCTAGCACTACAAAGTCTGCTGGCACTGAGCTGCCTTGACTCTAGGAAGTCCTCAGAGTGCATCAGGTCTCTTCAGTGCTCTCCCCTGCTGTGTTCTCCACCAGGAAAAGGGAATTCCAACCTTCATGTCTCTGTGTTTGGCTTAGGGAAGACCTGCACCTTCCATAGCCACAGGGCTAATTAGAGAGACAGGGTTAATTAGTACCTTTAGAGGAGGGAAGGGCAGGTTGTTTTTCACATGTGCTTTGTTTTTATACGTGGCCTTAGAGAAAGAACTAAACAAAGATGGACAAAACCTGCAGTGAACTCTCTATGCCTGTTTTGAGGGAGAACATTTTTGTGCCTGCAACTTTGAAGCTCATTTGTCAGGGTAACATAATTAAACAGGGGCTTATAAATCTTCCTTAGATCTAATCTTTGTGGTTTTCCTCTCCACTGTCCCCTCATAGTACTGGTAGGTTATGAAAAACCTTGCAGGAGGGGAAAATGGGTTTATTTGTTCACTCATGATTAATACACTAGTATTTCTAGAGAGGGGTTTAGTGACTGTTTTCAGGAGCAGTTGTGTGTCTGCCTGAATATCAGTGATTGCAGAAGATGGTCTGTGCATGCTCCAACCATCTTGTCTTCAACAGTGCCCCCATATTCTTGCAAATTCTTTTGTCATAATTAGAAAATGAGAAATTTAATGGGGATTCAAAAAATGTAGACCATGGAGATTTTACACACTTCTTTTTGGGTAACGTTGAGAGGTATTATGAAATCTGAATTTTACCAACTTTAATAAAAAGAGGAAGCTGGAAGGAGAATGGCAATTACCTGTGGGTGCTTAAACAACCTGCAGCATTATCTGCTGCAGAGGAAGTGTCTCAGATAAAAGGGAGGGTTTCTGTCTTACAGTTTCCAGGACCCTGAGGATGGATGTGAGAATCATGGCTATAAAGACAGTGACAACACTGGACGTGTGTGTTGTCAGGATCCTAAGGAGCTGACTCCTGAAAGCTCTACTCCTGTCCCAAGAAGCAGAAGCAAGGACAATGCTCAGGTGGAGGAGGAAGGTGGGATGAAGTCTCTGAATGACAAAGCTGCAGTGGGGAGTGCAGAGCAGCAGCCTGCAGCTCCTCAGGAGCAAGGAGCCTGCTGCCACACAGCACTAGTAGCCAAAGCTACCCCCAAAGGCTTAGGTGCAAAGGAAACATCCATGCAGGACAGCCAAGGTGATCTCCTCCCCCAGAGAGAGAGATCTCTGCCCAGAAGGAGACTGCAGTCTCCCGAGGACCAGCAATATGAGGAGCTTGCCATGGAACTCATTGCCAAAGACCATTCTCTGGTTGATATTCTCATGCCTCAGCCTGTGAGAAAAACAGCTCTAGACCTGCTGGAGGGTCTGTTCCCTGAGAGCATTTCCATGCTGGATAGATCCCACAGGAAAAAGGGAGACCTACAGCACGTGCAGGAGAAGGAGTAAGTTGGCAAACCCAGTTATCTGGGGGTTTAAGCTGGTTTAGTGTGTGATTATGATGGGTGTACTGGTAGTAAAGTGACTTCAGCAGATGGGTTTATTTTTGTTTCATTAGCCAAGCATTTTAGCTTTCTGATTTGCATCTCAAGAAACATCTGAGGCTATGGGTGGTGAAATAATCATGGGCTGTGGGTGATGAATAACAGATGAAGTGAGGTTCAGTGATACCTTCTTAACAAGGACTGCAACCTAGGCTGCAGATCTTTTGCTCTCTATCTTTTAAAAGTCAAGGAGAAAAATTGCTGCAGTGAGAAGAGAGTGACTCTGAAGTCAAGATGGATAAAACCATGAGCACAGTGTCTGAGAACATCAAAACCCTTTTGCCCCAGGAATTTACTTTCTGTTTCAATGGCAGGAAAAATAGTAGAGATGCAACTGAAGAATGTCCTGAATCTGAACGTGATGCCAAGCAAAGGAGTGAAGATCTTTCCTCTAAGGGAAACCAAGTCCTCACTAAGAGCAGAGACAGCACAAATGACCTAGATGACATCACAGCAAAGAAAGTAGGTCGAGGGCCACCAGAGTAACTGCTGGTCCTTCAGCACAACAAAGAAGTTATTAATGCCACGTGTATTACTGCAGATATTTGTATTCATGGCTTTTATCCCAATAATCCTATTTCATATTGAATCTATTTTTGCCAGTAGGTGAAGTCCTGGCAAAATGGCACCATAAGTGGGTGGTATTCAAGTCCACCATGGTTTGGTTCAGGTCTCTCCTCCCAGCTCCTCTTCAGCCCATCCCCAATGTCCTGCTGTGTTTGGAAGAAGCACACGGGGCTGCTCATACCTTTCCTTGCAAGGCCAGGTCCTGTGCAGGAGCTGACTCACAATTTAACACTCAAATCTGGTCTCAAAACCTATAAAGTTCCTCACAACTGGCAGCCTAAATAAGAAGTGGGTTTTGCTCCAAGGGAGCTGGCAGCAGTTTCTGTACACTGCAGTGCCCTGTTGGTTTCCAGGGCATAGGGGTAGCTTGGGCATAGCTGGACTAGGGTCAGAATATGGCACCTTGGGAGGGCAATGTGTAGCTTTGAAGAATGAGATGGGTTTTTTTTCCCCTCTGTAGAAAGCTGGCCCTGTTCCATCTCAGGTAACAACAATCTGCTTTCCTCTGAGTCCTGCTGTGCCCGTGGTGATGCTCTTCATCACTCACTCAATCTGCTGCTCCTGCTCGTGGTGGTGTTGGCTGATCTCCAAAAAAGCTGATAGGCTTCTCCTGCTCCAGTCTTGGGGCCTTTTTCCCTATCAACATGTCCATGTCAAGCAGCCTCCTCTGCTTGCTTCACTGCCCAGGCACTGTGGCTTGCTTGGATCACCCGTGGAAGTGACTTTTTCTGCTCATATTCTACATTAAATTCCAGCTCTTGTGAAGGTTGATAAGAGAGCTGTGGCTTCATGCTCCTGTCCCAGAGCACAACCATGTGTAATCTTTACTGCAGCTCCCTCCTGACTGATGGGAAGCTCTCTGAGCTGGGGATTATATCACCCCTTAAGGTGATTACTATAATTTCCTTTTCAGAGAGAAAATTAACTACAGCTTAGAAAATCTTTTCTTTTCCTTTCCCACAGCTTAAAATTATTTTACAAGCCAAAAATTTGGCCAAGATAATGCAAGGAAAATCCATCCTCTAGAAATTTCATGGATTTTCTTTGGCCATGATGGCTTTTTGTGACTGCTTTTGGTTTTCTTTTCCCCCCTTTCAGCTGGAGCTGCTCTCCAGGCTGCGGGAGAAGCTGCGGAGGCTGTGGGAGGAGAGGGAGCTGGTCCTTGCTGAAGCACAGGAGTGTGCCGAGCGTGGCCAGGAGCTGGAGGTGGTGGTGAGGGGTGTCTGCAAACCCAACGAGCTCCAGCGCTACCTGATGTTCATGGGGGACCTGGAGAAGGTCGTGAGCCTCTTGCTCTGCCTGTCCAGCCGCCTCGCCCGCGTCCAGAACGCCATGGGGAGGGTGGATGGCAGCACAGACCCTGAGGAGAAGGTGAGTGAGAGGCAGGTGAGGGGTTTAGCTGTTGTTGGGCTCTGCCCAGGTGGGGCTGTGCTCACTCCATGTGTCTGACAGCTGGAACAGGAGTTGTCCTTCTGCATGGAGCCCAGGCAGGCTCTGTCCAGGCAGTGGCCGTGCCACACCATGGGCTGTGTCTCCACAGCTGGGGCAGGGAGACCTCAGGGCAGCCTTGCAGTACTTAAAGGGGTCCTGTAAGAAGGACTGGGACAATCTCTTCAGCAGGGCCTGTTGGGACAGGACAAGAGGTGATGGGTTTAAACTAATAGAGGGAGATTTAGACTAGATGCAAGGAAGAATGTTTTGATGCCAAGGGTGATGAGCCCCGTCCCAGGCTGCCCAGAGAGGTGGTTGATGCCCCATCCCTGGAACCATCCCAGGGGAGGTTGGCCAGGGCTCTAGACCCTTCCCCAGCTCTGTTGCCCTTCTCTGGACATGCTCCAGAACCTCAGTGTCTTTCTTGTATTGAGGTGCCCAGAACTGAAGCCAAGATTCAAGGTGCAGCCTCCCCAGTGTCCAGTCCAGGGACTTCATCGCTTCCCTAGCCCTGCTGGCCACACTCTTGCTGATACAAGCTAGGATGTTGTTGGCCACCTTGGCCACCTGGGCATGTCCCACTGTCTTTTTAATATGACATTTACACCCTAGCCACACACAACTCAGAAAACACAATGATGTGTGCCTTAAAGAGATTCTAATTGACTGAAGATGGATACAGGATACTTTAAAATGACCAGAATGTTAAGTATATTGATTTTTCCCCTGAGGGCAGCATGGAAGAAGTGAGGCTTGATGGGGTTTACTGAGTGTCTTTACCCTACAAGCCACAAGAATGAGTAATTCAACCAAGAAAAAAACTCATGTGGGACACAAAGCCCACAAGAGGAAGTAATTAAACTAAATCGACTGTGGCTTCCAAATGAAGATCTTGAGTCTGCCCAGCATGATGAGTTTTTAGTGTGCTGTGTTTTCTCCCTCCATCAGCAGTCCCTGCAGGAGAGGCACGAGCTGCTGTCAAGGCAGAGGGAGGATGCCAAGGACCTGAAGGAGAATCTGGACCGCAGGGAGAGAGTGGTGTGGGGCATCCTTGCCAAATACCTGCCCGAGCAGCAGCTCCAGGACTACCAGCACCTCGTGCAGGTCAAGACCTCCTTGCTGATTGAGCAGAAGGACCTGGAAGAGCAGATAAAGTCTTTTGAAGAGCAGTTAGAAAACCTTGAGCAAAGCATCCGCCTGTGATGGGCCCAGGAGAGGGGGTGCTCTGCACCCCACGGGGTGTGGCCTGCCCCACGGGGGTCCTGCCAGTGCCAGGGTGTTGGCAAGTGCCCAGGGGCTCTGGGCATGCTCCAGGCACAGGCTGGACCTGCCTCCCCCTGTGGATGGCCAGACTGAGAGCACCCTGCCCTGCACAGCAGCCTGTGCTTTGGGGGCACGGATAGGACCTGCTGCTCCTGCCAGCTGGGTGTCTGTTTCCCCTCATTGTTGTCTGTCCATCTGTTTGCAGATTGACACTATCACAATAAAAGGATGGCACAAATATTGTACTTTTGTGGGTGGGCTGAGTGTTTGCAATGAAAAATGAGGTGGGTGTTCAGATTTGGAGATTGCACGAAGCCACAGGACACATTAGGGACCATTTCAGTGCCACTCCTGGTGTCAGCTGTTTGGAGGTATGGCACTGTGAAGGGAGAAAACAACTTTTATCTCTTGGCAGTTGCCATCCAAGGATCTTTCCTGGCTCTGTGTAATCCTGGTAGGCTGTTCAGCAGCAGGTCTTAGGAGTCAGAAAAAAGGGTGATCCTCGCTGGCATCAAACAGAGCTGATCAGTGCTGAAAGCAGCTTAAATCAGCACTTGTGGGAATGGTAAACTCTCAACTTATTCCTGCACAGTCACTAGCACAGTCCTCACTATGCTTTTGAAGTGTTTATTTTCCAACCAGCACCTTGTGGTGTTTGTTTTTAGGCAGTTTTCCAATTGTCCACGAGCACAAGAAGTGCTGAACGTGGGGGGGAAGCTCTGCTGCAGTGTGAGGTGGGTGGGACAAGTGGAGGAGATTATTCCCTTTCAACGAGGCTTTATATAAATCCCTCAGCAAAAATCTCTTAAACTAACATTGTGTGTTGAGTCAAAGGACTGATATTGCTGTAATTTAGTGGGGTTGGTTGGTTGGTTTTTAAGTATTCAGTGAGAGCAATATTCTGTCTGAGATCCACACCTAGACTGTAAGGCAGCTGCTAATCAAACTCAGGGTTCTTCCACAGGCACACCAGGGGTTCCTTGATCCATGATGTTGGTTCAGCTTTCCCCAGAGAGGTTTTACTGCTCTGGTGTGTCCTGACAGCAGTTGTCAGCACCACTGAGAGAAGCTGTCCTCTTCCTGAGGTGTCTCCTCCCTTGGGGCTGCCTTCAGTAAACACCCAGCCACCCAGGATGGGGACACAGCTTCAGAGGATGGTGTGGGGCTTGCTTTACCCCAGGGCACATTCTCCACCTGAGCTTACCCTCCAGGCAATGGGAACGAACTGGTCCCAAAGAGCAGTGTACAAACAGGAGAGCAGCGTGTGCGCTCTGCCTGAGCCACCTCTGCCAACACTCCTGCCAGCTGAAGGAGGCACTGGGGAGCTCTGGAGTGCTGCCCTCCCCCGTGAGGGAATTTGGGGCTGGCCTGGGAGCTACACGAGCAGGTGATGGATGCAGCAGCAGCCACTCCTGCCAGCTGAAGGAGGCACTGGGGAGCTCTGGAGTGCTGCCCTCCCCCGTGAGGGAATTTGGGGCTGGCCTGGGAGCTACACGAGCAGGTGATGGATGCAGCAGCAGCCACACGGTG